TGTGTGTGTGTGTGTGTGTGTGTGTGTGTGTGTGTGTGTGTGTGTGTTGCTGTGTTGCTTACCACCTAGATGAGTCCAGGTTCCTCCACCCATTTCGGGAGGGAAGTACACAGCAGAGAGAATGATGGCCCCGGCCCTGCAGGTCACTCGCTCAGATGAAGCCAGGTCCCTGGGGTGTTGGAGATGCTGGCACTGGTGACCCTCATCTAGTCCTGTCTGCATGCTGCCCTGAGCTTTGAGGTTACAGGACAAGGCGGGCACACTTGCTCTTGACCAGACCCCGCTCTCCATCTCCCACTCTGACCTTGCTCTGGAATCCAGGTACCTGTGGCCTCACCACCCTTATCATTTGCCCCATCCACTGAGCTCCTGGGGAGAGCCACTCACTGTTGGGGCAGGGGGTTGTCTGTGCTCCTGGTGGCAGGCAAGGACCCAGCAGTCTTCCTTAACAGCAACCCCACGGACTACATCCAGCACCTTGGCTCTGCGCTAGCCAACCTGAGCCCCTGCTCCATCCCACAGAGACTCTACCGCCAGGCCCACAGCCTGCTCTGCAGCTTTCTGCCCTGGCCCAGCATCTCAGCCAAGGGCGGCATCCAGTACAGCCGAACCATGTGAGGCCACTTGCCAGTGGACCCTGTTGAGCCTGCCCTCCTGGCCATCTAACACCCCCAAGGTTCCTGGGGAAGAGCCCATCAGCCTGCTTCAGCTGCAGGCCTGGTGCTACGCGGGCTCCGGAGAGGCCTGGGTGAGGCCAGAGTGTGGCTACTGACAGGTACGCCTGAGCTGGTGGCAGGGAATGGAGCAGGCCTGAGTGAGACTCGAACCAAAGAAATCCAGCAAGCCAGCTGCCGTCGAGTTCCTTCTGGCTCACAGCTGGGGTCCACCCATGTCCAGCTGTGCTCCCGAGGGTGATCACTGGCTGGTTTGGGGGAGTAAGTAGCCATTCCCAATGGTATAGTCAGGAATCGGGGGCCTTAGCATAAGTCCCAGAGTGCCAGATGGTCATGTTGAATGGGCACTGGAACCAGGTTGTACCTGGCTCTGCCTCGACTCCCAGAAACCAGGGAAAAGCAGCGAGTGGCCAGCGAGCCTGTTGTTGGCTCTGGCAGGGACCTGGCCTTTCTATTCTGAAAGCTTGTTTTAACTTTTTATTGTGATTTGGGTGAGTTTACAGAACAAATAGGTTTCCCATTCAAGAGTTCACACACATTTTGTCTCATGCCACAGGTTGCAGGCCCCACAATGCAGCAGTGCTGCCCACGGCCTCCCTGCGCGTCTCATTCCCATCAGCCCCACTTTCTCAGCTCTTCCCGTCCTCTGAGCTTTCTCCCCGGGCACGTGCGGCTCTCACATCTCATGTGGTTGATGGCTCTATGGATGCTTACCTCCTTGGTGTGACCATTCAACCCGTCTGTGGTTTGGCTACTAGTCTAGCCGTGTGGGTGAATTTGCTTCCAGGCTTGATGAGTGTTTACGGGCACAGTCTCGGGCTTCCACCGGTCTGTAGCAGACCAGTAAGCCCGGTCTTTGTCAGGACTTTGAGTTCTGTTCTGCATGAACCTCCCGCCCTAGCCAGGACCTCCTCCTGTGATCCTTTCCAGAGCTGTTGGCAATGGTAGCCACGCACCATCGAGGTCTCGCTTCAGGATCAAGTTGATATGGTCTTTTAGTTCTTTGGGCTAATTGTTTTAACTTAAAAAAAAAAAAAAAGTAACACATTCATGTGGTTCAAAGCCTGGAAAGAAACAGATCGGGTCCCCCTATCCTTTCCGGCTGGTCCCATGGGCCAGCTCCCCCCCTGGGTCTGCTGTGCCTGCTCCCGGAGCGTGCCTGCAGAGGCCTTGTTGCAGGTCGCCTGTGATGCACCCTCCTCTCACCCAAGGCCGCCTTATTTCCTGCTTCATATGTACAACAATGGATGACATTTTGGAGGAAATGGAGAAAAAGCCTCCCCTCTCCCCTTTTTTTTCAAGGCACTATGGATTTCGATGTAATTAGGGACATGTGGAGGACTTAAAAAAGCTTGTGGGAAAAGAAACTGAAAATATGCTCGAGTTTAACCATAAGCTTTGTAAAGCCCCCTCATCTGCCCCGTTGAGTCCTCTGGTGCTGGGATTTACCTGGATGGGTCCCATTTATTCAGACAGAGAGTTATACAGGACCTCACCAGGGGGGCAGCACACCCCTAAGAGTGGGATAGCAATCGTCCCCCGCCCACTAAACCCCAGTGGCAGGAAATGCAGGTGGGCATTCCATGTCCCATGGGTTATGAAAGGGGTTGAAAGGTGTGCTGGCACACCTTATAGACAAGATTTCTGCTCCCAGACAGCCTATTGTAGCATGGTGGTTATGCGCTGGGCTGCGATCCGCAGGGTCAGCAGTTTGAAATCACCAGCGGCTCCAAGGGAGAAGGCGGCAGCTCCTTGCTCCTGTAAGGAATCATTCTCAGAAACCCACGGGCCGTTGGACCCTGGGCTGTAGGGTCGCTATGAGTCGGCATCCACTCCAGGGCAGCTTGCTTTAGTCTGGTGAGTGCCCTGGGTAGCCAAGTCTCAGGCCTCGGAGCCGGGGGTGCTCCACGTGTCTGCTGGGATGGCCAGAACACTGTCACAAAGTCGGTGCTTGAAGCAACAATGTCACTCTTCCACTTCTGGAGGCCAGAAGTCCGGATTGGGGGGCTGGTGGGGGGCTGTGAGCGGCTGCACTCTGTTGTACCTCCTAAGGAAAGAAGGTCCTTGTCTCTCCGGCTCTGAGCTACAGCGCCCCTGCAGCCGGCCTCCAGTATCACGCCTCTGTCTTCCTTCTGCCTGCCTCTTGCCCGAGACCACCCTTCGGGGTGGGTTAGTGCCCAGCCTGCTCCAGTGTGGCCACCCGACATTAACGAAGCCATCCGTCAAGGCCTGGCCACAGACCCCAGAGGGCTAAGATGTCAGCATGCCTCTTTGAGGACACAGTGCACCCCCTGTTCTCACAGACAGTACCTTTGTTCCTACAGGAGTCACTGGGAATGGGCCCTGGCTTTGGGGCCCCATTGACCCCTGCCACTCTGGCTCTCCTATGTGTGGCCCAGCTGTGCCTTTATGGGATGGTGGTGGGCGGGTGTCCCCACCGGGGCTCTCATCCCGCCCCCATTCTCTCCCACAGCTCCTGCTGCTGCTGAAACCTCTGCCTCTCCCTGGAGACCCCTCCCACCACCTGAGCACCCTTCCACCCCTCCTGGTACGCCCCTGGGCCAGCCAGGAAGTCTGTCTTCACTGTGGTCTGCCCTCTTCCACACCGCTGCCGTCCTTGTCAGCCCCTCCACCGTGGCCTTGCTACTGGGAGGAGGATTGCAAGTGTTGCGCACAGACTGGACCCTACGAATGGGAGCAAGGTCTCAGCCCAGCAGGAGCAGCAGAAGGGCAAAGCCCCACCCCAGCCTCTGCAAGAGCCATCCTGCAGGAGCCCAGCCCCTCACGGGAGGCTGCCCTGAGGGGAGCCAAGCACCAGACTCCTGCTCTGCACCCAGTTCCCTGGCAGAGCACACCCAGGTCACCGTCTTGGCATCTCTACTCTGCTCCTCAGTGGGGCTCACTTCCCACTGTCCCTGAGATATGGGAACCGTGAACTGCAGCCCAGAGCTGACTGGGGTCGTGACTTTGAGGCCTGGAGACGTGTGACAGTGGCAGGAATGGGGAACCTGGCCTGGGGGGGTCTGTGCCCACCATGAACCCAGGCATGCAGCCTGTGTCCTTGGTGTGTTTCTATGTCTTTTCCCCCCATGTACCCCCAGGCCCCTGGCTGCCTCCCCCACGTCCCCAGCATCTCCCCCTGCCACCATGGGAGTCCTGGGACAGAGAAAGAGCGGGCCTGTGCTTGAGCGCCATGCCCCCTCGGACTCCCTGGCCCAGAGACCAGGTGCTGGCGCCACCTCGGCTGCTCGGCTGCCTGCCTGATGGGCTCCCAGCCTCTGCCGATGCCAGTGGGACAGCAGCCCCAGCTCTGTGTCCTCATCTGAATCAGTGGTCACCCTGTGATTATGTCTGCTCCGTGGGGTAAGAAAAGAGCCTTCTGGAAGGTTCTGCCATGAACTTCATCACCAAGCTCTACCCTGCCCCTGCCCCTAATCACTGCAGTGTCAACCAGCCCTTTTTGTCTGATCACAAATAATAAAGAGACTCGAGTCGGTCACACCCTGTCATTACATGGCCTGGCTGGCACCTTGGACCCTGTCCCTGCTGCCTGGGCCTCACTGCTGGGCCCCTGAGCTGCTGTCCACTGTGCCATCCCTAGGGCCACCTCCAGCCACCTGTTGTTGCTTTTGAGGTGCTCTCCTCTCCTTACAGCGACTCCAAAGGCCAGCACAGGACTGCGCCTTGGGGCAGACAGCCACCACCTCCTGCAGAGCACTTGTGGGTTTAAAACAGACCTGAGGTAACCTGGGTGCTTGCGCCACCAGGGCCCCTTGGGTGTGTGCAAATGCTCCCAAACCTCACGTAGGCCTTAAGCTGCCACCTGTGTCTGCTCATGACTGTGTAACTGGGGCAAGGGGTGTGGACCTGAAGACCAATTATAAGGTGAAGGGTGCTATCTGTGACCATGACCTCCCTTGGGACAGGGTTAGCTTCCCACATTCTGGTGGTCTCTGGACAGTCTGACCACTGACTCCTGCCCCTTCCTCCCTCCCCCCAGGGCAGATGCCTAAAGATTCTGGTCTATTCTAGCTCCAGTACAGGTACGGTGTCATTGCCACCACATCCTACTGGTCAAAGTCAGACCCAGAGTCAGCCTCCAGGCAAGTGGAGCAGGTTCTCAGCTGGCCAGAACACAGGGGCATAGGGCTCATCCCAGACCACCCAGATGTGGTATTCCGAGATGCGGGCTCTGAGGCAGTCTGGGTCTCACTCCATCGGACCCCAAGGGTCCTCACAGACCATTCTGCTCCAGCCCACACCCGTGTCTTCTCCATGAGCCAGCTTCTGGCAGGCCACCCCGTCTGGCTCAGCTTGCAGGCAGCAGTCCCCACCCCCAGTCCTTGACTTTCAGTTCCTCAGGCAGCTTCTCCCTCACGTCTCCCTGGAGTAGTGGCCCTTCAGGTCCACCTGCAGGTGTGTCCTAGGAGGAAAAGACAGCAGCTGCCCTTTCTGTCACCCCATGGCACTCATCTGATAGACCAACCAGGCAGCCCTGCCCGGCACACGTACACCAGTCCCTGCCCCAGCCGTCCTCTGTATTTGGCATACACCTGCACACTCATTCCTTCTGGGGGCCACAGCCAAGGACGGGAGTCCCCAGGATCACCTGTCCCACTGAAATGCCCAAGGGCGAAGCAGGGGGAAGGGAGGGGGCCTGGAACCCAGCTGTCCTATGTCCAGTGGTAGCCTCAATGCCGTCACGTGGTCTAGGGCAAAAAGTTGGCCAGATGGGTCACTGGGCTTCCCAGTCCATCCAGCTCTGTGGGAGTCCCTCAGGTGGAGGCCCCCGGTGTGTCCAGCATTGGACTACCCCCACCCGAAGGACACTGGGTAATGACTGAGACATCACTGGTTGTCAGGACTGGGGGAAGAGATGCTCCTGTCTTCAAGTGGGAGCAGGCTGAGGTCTGCTCACCATCCTGCAAGAACAGCACAGCCCCTCCCCTTATGTCACCCGGGAGAGCCCGGGCCCCCCAGGTGGCAAGGAGCAGGGCTGTGCTGGCCTTGGAAATGACTTTGCTCCCCAAGCCTGGCTCCTTCCTTCGTCCTCGGCCCCTCTTCAAGGCCCGCCATGCCCCATGCCTGGGGCTGAAAGCCTGCTGCCCTTGTAGAGCCAAGCTCAGAACCTCCTCCAAGCAGTCTTCCTAGAGTCCCATACTCCACTTGCCCCCGCTGCCCTGGATCTGGCCCCAACTCCCAACCTTGTCCCCTCTCTCAGCCAAAAGCCGGGAGTGGCAAAGACCCCTCCCCAGATCATATGCCGAGCCTGGCTCTCAGGAAGCAGAAGCTAAGGGGTTGTTGGTCTAGTGAGTGGGCCTGATGTCAGACAGGACAGAGAGACACTGGTCGTGGCTTTTATTGACTTAGACCTGTGACTCCCCGGCCTCTAGGTATCCCAGTTCTCCACAGGGCCCAGCCTCCCAGGCCCCAGTTGCTGATTTGCGTTTGAGCAGGCTGTCAGCCCAGGCCTGCGCTTCTTTCTGTCCCTCCTGAGGGGCCTCCGCCCGCCTCCTCCCTCGTGGGCCTCAGGACACCCAGCTCTGGGGCTGGGCTGTCTAAGGTTTGGGGAGGGGGCCTTGCCATGCTGCCCTCTCCTGTACCACAGCTGAGAGAACTGGCCCTGCGTTCCTGTTCCTTAGGACTTCTCCAAGGCCCCCGAGCGGGTTTTCTTGCACAAGGGACAGGTGGACTCCTTCAAGGCTCCCCAAGACCTCTTGGGTCTGGGCCCCAAGCCCTCAGGGGCACTGGGCTGGGAGGGGACACCCTTGGCTTGGTCCGTGTCAGAGCTGGAGGCTGAGGAAAGGAGAGAGAGAGGAGTCACTCAGAGGGAGGGACCCAGGAGAGGCTGGCAGGCCTTCAGGACTGGAAGGGGAGGGCTGGCTCTTCCTCCTTAAAGAGAAGGGGGAGTGGGGTAGGACGAAGAGGGACGTGGATGGTGCCAACAGGACTCCGAGTCACCAGAAGCCCTCGTTTTACAAATGGGGAAACTGAGGCACAAGGCCCACGAGGCCGAGCTGGGCAGGAACCCAGGGCCCTAGTCGCACAGCACCTCCCTTTTCCTCACCCACCCTCACCCCTGCTGGCTCTCAGCCCCTGCCAGTCCTGCACTCCCTCCGTGGACCATGGGCTTGTGTGTCCTGGGGGACTTCCAGCTCTAGACCAGGGTGGTGGAGGGCAGGCAGGGGCATGGGATCACTTCCTGGTTACTACCAGATGCCCAAGAGACTCGGGGACAGAGAAAGATCCAT